TTTTAAAATTTAAAATGGTTAAAAATACATATTTTTGAAAAAATACTCGGCCGAAAGAGCGAAGATAAAAACATAAACAAAATAGAAAAATATTGAAAATATCCGAAAAGCAAAGTCTGTGAATTCAGACCTTGTGTATATAATAAAGCTCATATTCGACTCGAGTTCGTAGAATAACTGTTTTAAAAATATATCAGGAGTAAGAACTTCAGTCATTCGACCTGTGAGCCAATAGCCTGCGAACAGGCTCTCAAGCTGAATTGAGAGCCTGCATCGATGACTAATGAATTTGAATATCTGCCCCGTAACGTTCATTTTTCCAAATATGGAATGTCTATCCTTATATGGTGCTGTTTGCAACTTTCGTGCAAACTAAATTTAGACCGTGCAAACTAAATTTAGACCGTACAGTTTATACTGTTTTTCGAAATATAAGATAATATTCAAGCAAAAGTTCAAATGTTTTAAATACTGTAGTCTCAAAACAGAACATTTCGTGCTTTAAGATAAGATGGCCAAGACCAATTTGATTAGTTAATGTGTTTTTTATGCATAGTGCTTCAGCAGTTGACATTTATAGAGCTCAGCGGAAACATATAAATTATAGCATCTGACCAATGAGAATTTCGCGTCACGATTTGAGACGCAGATATTCAAATTCATTAGTCATCGATGCAGGCTCTCAATTCAGCTGGAGAGCCTCTCAATTCAGCTGGAGAGTCTGTTCGCAGGCTAGTGAGCCAAAAGTGAAGCCAAGATAGCAGCCATTGACGTCCAATAGCTATGAAGATTGTAATTATTATTTGTAAACAGTTTCAGTACCATTTTCCGCAGCTAATTCCAGTTTTTACAGACCATATGATATATTGCTAATCAAGTTATCAGTTCATAAAACTATAGTAGTATTCTTTAAGTCGAAATTATGCATGCCACACTCTTTGCCCACTGCACAGACAAAAACATAAGGGGGGAACTGAAAAGACGTCCAATAGCTCCATCTTTGCATTTGGCTTCACTTTTTGGACTCAAGTTCTCACTCCAGATTTATATAGAGATCTCACTGATCAACAGTTCTTGGCAAAGTTTATACGAAGTGTCTATACAGCCGGCAGCCGGCTATTTAATTAACTTGCCGGCTATATAGTGACTATAGTTAAAGTTGAATTTTTATTAGATAAACGATCCCTAACCCCAAAACCTTCTCTATAACCCTAACCCCAAACCTAACCTTTTGAGAGTTAGAAAAGGCGGGAAAAAATATGCTAAGTCAGACAAAACACATCCCGACCCAGACTGGGTTTCACTTTCCGCACGCAGCGCCTTTACCGTATACGCTAACGGCAAGCTCGGTAAAAACTAGTGCAAACAAAAGTTTTTATATGTAACTATAGTCAGTCAGACAGTCCGACTACTGTATATAGCCGGCAGTTTACCAAATAGCCGGCTGAATAGACATTTCGAAGTTTATAAATAACGTACAATAACTGTTGAAAAATGTTTGACATGCGACATCAATTTATAGTGAGGATTGGCTTTTTTTCCCTGCTAAAATATGAACTTTCTGACCAACGTTTGGAGAGTGGGTAATATATGTAATATTCCAAGATACAACAGTTTCAGTATAATATACCGGTATACAGCTATTTCAATTAAAGTTGTCCCCGAGCAAAGCGGAAAAGTAGGATACGAGCGCGAAAGGCTTGCTGGGAATCACTAAAACATTTATTTTTTAGCGATTCCCAGCAAGCTTTTGCGCTCGTATTCGACTTTTCCGCTTTGCTCGGGGACAACTTTAATTGAAATAGCTGTATACAGCATAAGCAGCCGTGTTGTACAAGATATACAAACATGATCCAAAACTTAGCTTGTGATTCGTCTTGATCAAAACGATGTGTCAGACCTACAAGATCCTTCACGGTCATGGCTTTCTTTGTGTTTTGTTCGTACATATCCACAAGTCTCCTTTTAAAGGCAGTTTGACAAACCCAGCAAGTCAAGTCGTATTATGTAGTTGCCTTCAAACCAGTTTACTCAATTATGCTCACTCTTTGTCTAGGAACATGTTGATACGATCTGTGAAGGTGCACCCGTGACTTGTAGATACTGTCAGGAAGATGTCTTGAGAAAAGACATCGAAAAAACACGAGAGACACGATTGCGATAAGGTTCCGGCGACATGTGAATTTCAAGCTGTGGGCTGCCACCATAAGGTAATAATTTGTTGCTGTGTTTGTGTAGTGTCGGTATACACGGTGGTCAGTATACATGAATCTCTCACCTTTGTGACCGAAGTGCAATTCCTGCAATAGTTGCCAGATGATATTCCTGTTTGATTCTATCAAACAACGCAAGTTTTCTCCCGATAATTCTGTTTCCTCTTGTAGTAACTTTGAACTAATACAGGATGCCCCTTCGCCTTATTGGATCTCTAGAGAGAACAAGTTTAGCACTGCCAGAGCTATCCAGTATAAGTAACTTCTAGTTTAGCTCAGTTTTCCACGTGTATAATAACCATGGGCAGTAAAGGATGAGGAGTGTGAATATTTACCTCCAAAACACGAGGCTGTACAGGCATCGTTAAAATGCGCGAGCGTGTGAGGCACCTTTTGAATTTTTGCAGGCACATTTTAAAATACTGACATTTTAACAATATTTAGGTCACAAAATCTAAATAAGATGTGTTTTAGCAGGCACATTTTGAATTTCGCTCGCAGGCACGAAAAAATGTTAATGAGGCCTGGATGTGTAAATGCTCAATTGACCCGCACTTCTTCTTCGCTCCTACCTCGCTTGAATTGAGACCCTGGTATCGGCTGGTCACTTGACCCGTCATATTTTGGCAGATTTGCTAATTTGTTTTTAGGGAAAGGATAGCAACTGAGATGTTTTGTTTTGTAATGTTATTTTAACAATATTAATGTGTGCTACAATATATATCTACTTACTATAATTTCCCTAAAACAATTGAGCAAATCCGCCAAAATATGACGGGTCAGGTGACCAGCCGATATCAGGGTCTCAATTCAAGCGAGGTAGGAGCAAAGATTGAGAACCTGGGTACGAGGTTGCCGCACCACTGGACTAAGAACACCTCTTATTAGTCTTATACCCATACTACTGGGCAGAGTTCAATATAATTCTAAAAACAACCCACGTTTTGGTCGGACACTAACTATTTATAGAACTCAAAAGAGAATATTGTACAGTACGTTGCATTCATTTGTAATTATTTCACTTGCATACGAAAGGAGAATAAATATTGAATGTAACACTGTAGCGGTTCATTTAATTTATACGTCTCGAAAAAATTACGAAGCTGAGGAATTTTGAGGATCACTCCCAAAAAGCGTTCGAGAAATGGTGTTGCAAAAATATCCCTGGAACATTTTTCTCAAGATTTTCAATCGGATTTTATTAATAAAATATTTTCATCGGTTTTGAGATAGACTTCTATTAATTCTTATTATTATTCATACAATTTGTAGACTTTGAAGCGAAAGGAGGTACGCCAACATGCAAATAACGGATGGATAAATAGTGTCAGGTTAATGGTACAGTACATTCTAACTTTCTTTACCCAGCTGCGCAACAATATTCCACGTCCGGATTTAACAGGGATGTCGCAGAGAATTCGCGACGACATCACCGAGGTTCGCTCCGGTTTAGCCGAGAAGTTTGTTATGGTTGTCGGAAAGTTAACTGGCTTGGAAAGACGGATTGAAGGTTTGGAGTCCAGTGGTGCTGGTGATAATGATGCAAGGATCAGGAAAGAAGTGCAGGAGCTGAAGAGTAAAATTCGAGACCTCACTGCTGAAAGCAGCAACTTGCGTGAACGGAATATGAGTTTAGAGCGAGAAGTGCGAGATAAGGTCTCAATTATTGATCGTTTGCGAAGTAGGATGGATCAAATGGATGAGTCTCTTGCTCTGAATACAGTCAGGATTACCGATCTGGAGTCTCAAAGAGGTCCGCGTGCACAACAAGTTATCCACAGTTACAATGGTACTTTACTGTGGAAGATTGAAAGCTACCAGAGAAAACGGCAAGATGCCATCAATGGAGTGAAGACGGCCTTGTACAGTCCACCTTTCTACAGCGCTCAGTATGGTTACAAGATGTGTGCTAAAATTTACATGAATGGAGATGGCTTTGGAAAAGGGTCGCATTTGTCTTTGTTTTTTGTTGTGATGAGAGGTGAGTTGAAAGATTTGTTTATAGCGAATTTCTAGTGAGTTTTGTTTCCGGAAAACACAACGAGTTATTTGTTTATCAAAGCGTTTGATCCGTAAGCTGGGGGTATTCTTCAATGTAAATAGGTAGTGTACCTATTTTCCTTTAAAACTTCTGGGCCCTTTGCATGTCAAAATCAGTCCAAAAATGGGTGACTGGTGGATTGGTTTGGAGAGCAGTGGGATTTCTAAAACAGTGGAAAGACATTGAAACATTCTGATCACTGGATCGTGACTGGGTGGCATTATTGTTTATGATAAGTTTGTGCAAAGGCCCATTGTAGTATATCACAATAATGTTTTAATTTAAGGTGACTATGACGCTCTTCAAACTTGGCCATTTCAAAAGAAAATTACTATGATGCTGTTGGATCAAGGCAATGGAGATCACATGATTGATGCGTTTCATTCAGATCCTCAAAGTTCTTCGTTTCAACGTCCGAAGTCTGATATGAATATCGCGTCAGGCTCTCCACTCTTTATGCCTCTTGACAGCATGAATAACCGTCAGTACATCAAGGATGATGTCCTGTTTATTAAGATTATCGTCGACTAAACAAGATGATGTGGATGCTGGGGTCATTTATTTGGCACATGTGCATGATGGACGAAGGTTAAGAATTGGCGAGATTTTGTGCACTGCTACCATGTACTACTATTGCTGTTGCTGCTACAGCTGCAGTAACTCTACCGTATTTCACAAATGTACATTTCTACACTTTTAAAATTGGTATATATTATCGAAATCGCTAGGAATGGTAAATTGGTCTCTCTCGAGACCTTTTGCACCCGCGGTGTTTACCTCGTGTACCACGTGATGAATGTTTTGGACACCTCGTGACCGCTTTTGAACTCCAACGAAGTTCATAAACATCCACTGTATGCCAGAGGAAAATTGCCTAAATAACGTTTTGATTAGTGTAAACTGTAAATAGAGTTGTAAAACGAATAGTAAATGTGTTGGGGACAAACACACTCTGTTTATCATAATTAGGTTGTTCTAGCGAATGCGAGTTGAAAGTTTATAGCGAATATTTTCATTATTTTGTGAGACTTCATTTGGTAAATTGTTTAAATATTTACAGTGAGTATACGTGAGATCTTTAGCAGAACACAGCTCATCAAACGGAGGCGAGCATCTGCTAAAAGTGCTCAAGCATGTTTTAGAACTGCAAATCGAGGTAATACAAACCTTATTGCCTTATTGTGCTCGTATACCGACATTATCGAGTATATTAAATATTGTAGTTTATAAATAGCAATCGAGTGAACAATCGCGTATTTTCAGTTGAAGGATGTTGTAGACTGTACCTTCAAACCTTGAGAATCAGAATCAAACTATTGCTTTTAAAGTATTCTAAAGATAATTTACTCGATCATAAAAGGCCTAAAAACGCTACTTCCAGTTGAACATCTTCGAATGTTGAAGTTTCAAAGCGGTCACGAGCTGCCCAAAAAGTTCATCACGTGGTACATAAACAATCCCGCGCGTGCAAATCTCGAGGGACCAATAGACCTTTCCCCTTTTGAGTGAAATTTTGATCTAGACAAGTCTGGACAAAAAGTACATCACAGCTTGAAAGAGCATCACAAAATTAGTAATATTCCGAAGTTTCGTTGCGAAATGTTGTAAAAAGCGAATAATATAGGCTTGCGAAGTTTGCCGTTTTTCAGTCATTTTGTATTGCAAATGGGAAATTGATAATCAGTTTGATCATCTGATTATCAATTTCCCGTTTGTAATACAAAATGACTGAAAAACGGCAAACGTCGCAAGGCTATATTATACGCATTTTACAACATTTTGCAACGAAACTTTGGAATATTACTAATTTTGTGATGCTCGTTCAAGCTGTGATGAAATTTTTGTCCAGGTATATCTAGATCAAAATTTCACTCATAAGGGGAAAGGTCTATTTACCACTCTACGTGATTAGAATAGTATGATTAAAAATGAAAAAGTACAGCACAAGTTGGTGGTAAGGTGCATGACTTAAAGAACTTTTTCCAATCTGCAGCCTTCAGTTATTATAATACATGTTTTCGCAAAACCTCGCCAATTTGTAACCCCACCCCCATGCCTTTGTACCACATGGATGACCCCATAGACTTGCCTTGTGTTGACAAATGTCAAGACAAGTCATTTCTGAAAGAAAAGTTGGCGTAGAGTCCTGAAGATGTTCGTTGTATTGTGAAATATCATTGATACTGAAATATCATTGATAATTCGAAGTCAAAAAACTAAAAACGAAAAAAAATTATCGTGTATTAGCGTGTATCGTCACACAGTCCGAGGTGTTCGCCGTATCGTGGACCAATTTGGGACGTCTGATGTAGCCAAAAACTAAGTATTACAGTTTGTGTATCATCACAGAGTCCATACGTTCTTCTAATATCGTGAACCAAGCTGGGACTTCTGATGTGACCAAAGCCTAAGTATTACACTGTGT